ATTTGTTGTCTGTGATTTTTCTGGATATAGGTAATCAATGTACCCTTCATACCTGCTAAAGATTCCAACAAAATGTTCACATTAAGCCTTCGATTATCAAAATCAAAAGATGTCAAACTTGAGAAATGATATATGTATTGCAAAACGTACTCTGTAGACCCATCTTCTCTAGTGATTGATTTTCTTTTCTTGAGGTTCTTCGGGAGCTTAGATTGTACCACACTCACATCCCCGAGATTATCAAAGTTTGTCTCCATTTTAAGCCAATCTTCCAATAGTGTAGCTCATCTTCTTTCAACTCTGGTGCAGATTCTTTGTAGTAGCTGTTGGCTCTCTTGAAAATAGGTGAGCAGAAGAAAGAAAATAAAGAGAGAGAGAGAGAAAAAAGTTAAAACACGTCCAAGGTTATAATAACTTCATGTAACATGTAGTTTTAAAGTTACCACTGGCACGTCCTATGCACTCTTTCTTGAGTTCAATAGCATCCCTTTCGTCTTGGTCTTCCTTTTCATCGTCTTCTTCTTGTTCCGCAGCAGAAGCTTCAAACTTTGCAAAACTAACCCACACCGCCACACCTTGAATGCCTTGTGTGGTCCAAGAGTCGCTCATATAAAGCTCGTGTCCTCTCTAATTCTTCTTCTGCTCTCTCAAAATCTATGTAGGCCTGCCACACAAAAAAATATAACGTATTAATGATCCAGTCGATTCAAAAGTCTGAGGAATATTTTACTTCTTTGAATCTGTTGGACTGAATATTTTACCTTGCACAGAATGCAAAAAATTGTTTCAGTAGATCAGTTTGTGACCTCAATGTGCAGCTTAAACTCAATAAGAGCTAATATCTAACTAAGTCAACCACACCCAAACCCATATTAAATTTCTTATGTGTAGCCTGATCAACATCTTACGCAAACCATGAACGCAACATTCTAAAACAATTCTGCATTATTGTCAAAATAGCATAACCATAATAAAAGACAAATAACAATAGCTTTCACTGTTAAAGAAACTACTTATGCAAACCATGATAAAATCTAACAACTCAGTTTAAAAACTTAACCTTCTTATCAAAAGCATGATTCACATAACAACATAAGAAGGCAACATTCCAATTCTAGCTAGATCGATTATGCATTATTGCCAAAACCAAGCCCTTTTTCAAAAAAATAAAAAATTATTGCCAAAACCAAAATGAAAAAGAATAAATGACGAAATGTGTTTACATACCCTGATATCCTTTCTTAAAAGGAGATTTTACAATTTGAAATGAGCAATAGAACCGTTTGGTAAACCGATGATAAGGAGCATCTACATATGATTACAACAGACAAAATCATATAAAGAATGATTTTGTCTGCTGACTGTAACTCCGATATAAACGCAGATCCTCTCTGCAATCAAAACAGCACCTGTCACTCATAAGATCATGTCCTCTCTGCAATCATAAGGTCTCTCTGATCTGAATGTGTTGTAAGAAAATAATAAAAAGGAAGTAACTTTGCCTTCCGATTTGCAGAAGCTCATCAATGGTGGAGTCTCAACTCTCACGCTCGTCCTTCTTAGCAAGCAGCTTCTCCTCCTGAACTATATGAATCCCCCACCCAGACTTCAGATCCGGCGAGTACATATGCCTAATAGCCTCCATGATAACTATCTTCTCTTCCTCTCCCACAGATCTGAAATCCTCAAAGAACCTTCACACTGTGCGAGGATCGAGGATAAAGGAGCATCAAAGAGATTCATAGAAGAAGGGGAAGGGGCACCATTGGAAGAAGAGGGAGCTGGGTCTCAGGAAAGAAAAAATGAATTAGGTTTCACGAAAGGAATTACTCGCGATCTTCGGCTTTTGCTGTTGATGAAATGAAATATGGTTGTCCTACGTGGACTTGTCTACGTGGAAAACGACGTGGACTATTTAAAATGGAGAGAAACATCTCTTTATATAATAGATGTTTGGTTTTATTTTGTTTGTTGAATAATATTTAAAAAATGTAAATCTCTTAATGTTTAACATAATACATAAAACAATGACATGATTTAAAACCCTTAAGAAATACTTACGTTCTTATTTCAGATTGAGTTAAAGGTTTGCTGTCCCTCTTGTATTCATAAGAATAAGCTAATAGAAAAAAATACAGACTTCTAAATAGGTAAACCAATTTTTTATCAAAGAATGAGAAAAAAAATGATATATTTATAACTAGTATATCATCCTGTGCTATGCACGGACCAATTTTGTATGTATTTAAGTTAGTTTGCTTTAAAAGATTATTATTGATATTTTTTAGAAATACATGTTTGCAACCAATTTTTATAAAAATAAGAACTAAATACAAACACATAAAAATATAGTTAATATATTTATATGATCCTTCAGTTTTATTTGTTTTTTTTTTATGTAAATAAGTTTTTTTTGCAATATAAATCTATTTTTAGTAGACCAAAATTAAATTTGAAACTCAAATAATTATGAAAAACATTAAACTATTATTGGAAGTATTTATTCAAAAGTTTTGAAATCTAATCGTCAATGAAATATATCTTGGGATTTGTTTGGAACTTGCATCCTTCTTTTCCTTTCCCTTACGGTCATCACTAACCTGGAACTTCAAAGATACAAAAATATATAATTAGTTCATTTGTAAAACTATCAAATCATAACAAACGTAAATATTCAGTTTTCATATAGTTAATTCAGATATACTTACTGTTACTAAATTGCTGACAAAGCTGAGTTTTTTTTTTATTTACAGTAGAAGTATACTTAATCATCTTCTACATGAATCATGCAAATATAATAAAAATAATTAGAGAATATTGATTTTAGAAGGAAATAAAATAATCTGAATAAAGGCTAAACATAAACTTGTATGGATTTTCTAGCTACACTCGCAACAACACAAAAAAACTGAAGAAGTAACGATGGAAAGGAAAAGAGAGAAATAGAATAAAAAGTTGTTTGAAAGTTATGTAAGAGATAGAAAACCCTTACTGCTACAAAGGACGTCCACGTTTGAAGACTGCTTATGAGCTCTTGATGGTTGTACCCGAAAAGAGACTGCTTATGAGCTCTTGGTGATTTTGCATGGAGAAGATGATAAAGGGGATGTGGCATGGTTTACTCTATGGCTAGACACCAGAGAACATTGAGATTGTGTTTGCTGACATCATTGGTTGGTTGGATAGAGACTTTGTGATGGAGCTGGAGGGCTTGAATCCAAGCTTAAACGTGAAAATGATCACAGACGAATACAAACATAGTCAAGTGTTTTTTCTTCTTAAAAGAATAAATAAAAAATGATTAGAACTCGTGATATGATGGGACGTTATGGTTGAGACGATTTGTTATTTAACATCTGAACGTGAAGGCGTTGTTAGTGATACATAAAATTTAGGGATTTAGGTTTTACGTGTTTTGTTGCTATAAACTTGATGAAGAAGACGAACTATGACCAAAAAGAGAGGGAGACCAAATAAAAGAAACAAGTTAGTTAAATGAAAAGTTAGATGTACGTGTTATGATTTTGTAGTTGTAGATTACATGCACTTTTGAACGTGGTGGTAGTTATTTATATGAACTTTTTTTTGTTATAATTTCTTTTTACTTTTTATTTTCTTGCAATTATCCTTTATAATGATGTCCGATGATGTGCTCTTATCATGTAATCGATTAAGCTTAGTAATGAAGTTGTGTTACAAAAGAAAAAAAATTATGTAAATTTCTTTTTTCTTTTGTAAAATATAGATGATGTGTCATAATTGTATTTGGTAACGGACTTGTAATTTAGTATATGAAGAATTAAATAATACAAGGATAATTCTAATAATATAAAAAGTATTTTTGTAATCAAAAAATTAATTTTTATTTTTAAAAATTAAAAATTTGAGTTAAATATTTTAAACTTTTTTAAAATAAAAATATTTCCTATTTAATTTATATAATTACACATATCCTTCGTTATTTTTAATAACAAAGATAACATAATATATATTCATATACTATAGATAATAAACATATATATATATATATATATATATTACTTAGACACTATAAATAAATTATATAACAGAGAAAATTCTTGTGATAATTTTATATATGAATCATTTACTATTTTACCAATAAATAAATAATGTAAATTTATATATAAATTATATATAATTTATTTAGTTAATACTATTAAAATTATTTTTATATCCAAAATAATTTAATATTTTAAAAATAAATTTACATGTTTAAAATAATAATATTTTACATATAAATTATAATATAATATATAGTGACTAAGATTTATTATTTTTAATAACAGCTATATTTTTATATATATTATAAATATTAAATATTATTTTAAAATAAATTTATTATTATATTAATTATTATGATAATTTTAAAATTTCATATTGCTATTTTTTTTTTTTTTGCTAACCGAGTATCATGACCCCATCAAAGTGGTCCAGACTAGAGACCGAAGCGAGTAAGGACACTACCAGGACATCACCATGTGGCTCACCTATAACGGTCTTCGGTCTTGGATGCTGCAGTCCATATGTAAATTCCGCAGTGACCAAGGCTCGAACCCAGGGGCAAGCACTCCAGCCGGAGCTCCTTTACAAATATTGCTCTACCAATCATTTTGTTAAAAACTTTAATGAAAGCATACTGCTTCTACAACATACTACTACTGTTTTATCATATGATGTACCAATCGGCGCCCTAGATATTCTCAAAAGTTATTGCACAATGTATTTGAAACTGGAAAATCGATATATTTGACAAATAATGTGTATTCAAAGAAATAGCATGTTCAAATGAAGAAGTAAATAGGCACACAAACTAAAATTGACCCAGAAAAAAAGGCTAACGAAGCAAGCGGAGTGGCAACGCATGACATGAGCCATCTAAAAAAAGCATGTTCGTTTCTAAAATACTCTCATGTTTTCAACTCTTATTTGCTTATAAATTGATCACAAATACCAAATATAGCTGTTCAAATAAATACACAATGTTATTGACTTACCTCGCTGTATTTGTTCTTCTCTTCAGTGGTTTCAAAGCCAACAAAGAGGCAGATTCTCTAATTCAAAGAAATTGCAAGGTTTTCTCAGAGCTTCCTGGCAGGCTGGACTCAGAAGAGTTCCTTAAGATTTGCATCACATCTCTCAAAGAGAATCCAGAGACCAAGAAAGTGAGAAATAAGATTGATTTGATCGTGGTAGCTACGAATAATGCGATATCGAACATAACAAACATGAAAAGAATTGTGGAGAAGTTTATAAAAGAGAAGAGATATAAGAGTAGTCTTATTAAAAAGAAGTTGGAAGTTTGTCTTAAGCATTATCAAGATGGCTATGAGTGGCTAACCTCAGGTTTGAATTACCTCAAAGAGCAGGATCGTGAGATGGCTTCACCTGATTTGGGGATGGCACGCAGGGAAGTGGGTGATTGTGAAAAGAGATTCAAAAAAGGCGAAATAAATCCCTTGAAAAGGGAGAATGATGTCCTCTACGAAATGGTCTTCATTCCTAGCGTGATGAGTGAGATCGCTGATTGTGAGACGAGCAAGGGCGGTTGCACGTAGAGACTTACGGGGGCACTGCCCCGAACTCTTCTTTATTTTCCTTCACTAATTTACATTGACTTTGTGTAATGCTCTCAATTCAAAAATTAAACATCATGAGAAAATATCATGTGCCCCATCTCAATAATGTTCTACGTCCGCCCTTGGAGACGAGTGCAGTGATAAGGTGTTAAGTGAGCTCTATTAAAACAAAAGTTAAGAATAAATACAGTTAGTTAATAAGTTTTATTTTGTGTGTTAAGGATTTTTTATAACTATCTAATTTTAAAGATGAACTAGATTTTGATTCGCGCTTAAAAGCGCATATTTTACTAAAAAAATCAATAAAAACTAACGATTTAGTGATATTGGTTTGGATCCGAACCCAAGAAAAAAATATCTATTAAAGTTTTTTTGGACATGCGGATCTCTGTTCGAGTCTGGATCTTACCTGAGACCTGATCAGATACCAATACCTGAATAATATTGGTGTATATTAAATGTATTTGGGTATTTGGGATATATATTCGTATTACAAATACTTTTTTAAGTTTCGGATTTTGGTTTTCGGTTATAGCTTCAGAGTTCAGGTAAAATTTCAGAAAAATAAAAAATATTTTGGGTATCTAGATGAAATATTGGGTATTTTTTTGGTTTATCGGATCAGATTTCAGGTCAATTTGGTGTTTATGTATTTCTGGAGTTTGGATACTTCTAATCTTTTTCAGGTCTTAAATATCTAAACCAATCCGGACCGGTTAGGTATCCAAAAATTACATGTAATTTACAAGTATTTAACTATTCATCCAAACTCGAAAGAAACTTACACGAATCCAAACAAAAAAATCAAATACTTACTTAGGTTTAAATGTTAGGATCTGAAAGATCCATACTCAAAAGAAACCGATCCGTACCTGACCCAGAGACCTGAATGCTTAAACTTACTCTCTCTTATTACATTTTGTGTATATTTTATAAAAGTTATTTAGACTTCGAAATATTGACCCGCGCTTTTACTCATTTCAATAAAATTTAGTTGAGTTTTTTACTTTGATTCCAAAATAAATAATATTTAAATTTATCTATTATATTTTTGAAATCCGACCTAGATCCGCAGTTGGACAGGTAAATTCTTGTGTAATCTAGTTTCAAATTTAATTAAGAAGCAGAGAAAAAAACTTAAAACCTGCTATCCGCGATACGGTACTGGTTGATTTGACAAACCCCATAAAATATGATAACATTATAAAACAAAATTTGATTAAATTCTCCTATACTTTTTAATAGTACATAAAATTAATAAACTTGTGATTTTTTAGACTTTGATATAAACGTTGAAAATAATAGTAAGAAAATTTTATTGATATAATACTATTATTTTATTTTCTTTATTAATAACCTATAAGAAATCATTATTTTTATTTATTTTAGATTAAAATTTGGATTTATGATAATTTTAAAATATTCTTCAACACTCAAAGTCTTAATACATTTACACTGAACTGGCAAGCCTTTATATATTGATAAAATAATTGTTTTGAACTGGTTAATCTTTTTTCTGAACTATGAACTGATTTGTCTTTACATTAAGGAAGCAAACATATATTTACACCTTTATTGAAAATTCTAATGAACGGGTTAGTATATCGAATCACATTGAAACTATTATTTTTAATTCCAGTGGGTGAATAGAAGAGAAGTAGGTTGCAAGAATATTGGAGGTAAAAGAGGAAATTACCAAATATCAATATTACTTATTAGTTACTTATAATATTTTTTTTATATATGTTAAGGTTGGAATAAAAAATGAAAAGGTCCAAACAATCTTGTATAAGTAAATTTTTTTAGGGCTCTTTCCCTTTTAATAGTATTGATAATAAATCTCATGCTCTAGTATCTTTTGTTGGGGTCTAAACACAAATATAAATAATAGAAACTACGCTAAACACTTTCAAAACAACCATGCAAGTGGCAAAAAGTGTGAGAATTGACAGGTTATGGTATGTGAGTGGTGTTTACAACAGAGAGTGTTCAGATTTGAAGAGAAAAAAATAAAGAGAGTAAGTGAGAATCAAAGAGACTGCAATGGAGATTATTGGAGAATAAGAAAGATTTGAGAGATTGCTTGAAAGATTTAGTAACCAGAGAGTATAAGAGATTAATGAGAATGGAGAACCAGAGAATAGCTGAAGCTAGAGAATTCCTCTGCTTAGTTTACAATCTAATACAACAATGTCTTAAATAGACAAATACACACATTAACCTAATACTAAAATAGGGTTTTACTAAACAAATACTATTTTGGGGTATCTGATGAGGACAAGAAAGATAAGGACAAGGCTGGATCAACTAGAGAGAGTGAGAGGGACATGAGCAAGAGGCACAGACTTCTTAGGTTGAAAATGACAGGTCAGTTGCTTCTTCTAAGCAACCATGTGAGTTTTTCTTAATCTAATTCAAACCAGTACTTCCATCCAAACTTGATTCCCTTTACTTCTGGAGGCTCCCAACGTCCATATTGCTCCTCAATTTCTTTCTTGTCTTATTTTTCTTTCTAGACTTCACTACATTTTATTGTACTTCACTGCACTTTGTTGTACTTCACTGCACTTCGCTGCACTTCACTGCACTTCAGTGCACTTTGCTTTATTACTACTGATCTTTTTTATTTATTCATCTCAACAAAAAGAAACTACATGAAGAGAAGGCTGGACATAGGTTTCAACTATGTCCATCAAATCTGAGGAGTTTGTATTTGTGTTTTGATATAAACACAATTTTCTCATTAGAGATATAGTCGTTACAACCGTAAACTATATACATTGTGTAACTTAACTATACCAAGAATAACCAACTGGTTTACATCATAAATAGAACCAGAATAAACCGGACATTCCAGAGCCCTTAACAGACTAATCTAATAGCCCCCTTCAAGATGGAAGTGGAGAAAAAATGTTGCTAAGACCTATCTTGCCAATGAGCTCTTGGAATGAAGCTGGATAAAGAGCCTTTGTCAAAGATCAGCAAGTTGATTGCCCGATTTCACATACATTGTCTTCAGAAACCCAGCTTCTATGGATTTCCCTAGTCTTGTAACAATCCATTATCGACATGTTTTGTATGCTCATGAAAATGAAACCAAGTTATTTGCTCTGTGTATTGCAGCTGTGTTATCACAGTAAGGGTAAGCTTGAGGTCGAAATGGAACCTTCATTTCGACTAGTAACCGTGATAACCATATCATCTCCTTCGTAGCAGCATCCATATCACGAAATTCTGTCTCAGCAGTACTACATGTTATGGTGTCCTGTTTTGTGGATCGCCATGAAACCAAAGAATCAACTATGAACATGCAGTAACCAGTAATAGATCTCCGTGTATCTCTACATGATCCCCAATCTACATCAACAAAATAAATGAATTATCTGCAGGATAAAACAAACCCCGACCAACCCTTTCAAGTAGCGAAGATGCTTGTGAACTGCTTGGAGGTGAATGTCTCTTGTATCATGCGAGAACTGGCAAAGAGTATTCACCGCAAAAGAAATATCTGGTCTGGTTGTGTGCTAGATACATCAGTTTCCCCAATCAACTTTTTGTAAGATGGATCAGAAAGAGGAATACCTTCATCCTTTGAAAATTTTATACTCGGATCCATAGGTACTGAAGAAGGTTTGCTCCCAAGAAAACCAGTAGTAGACAACAACTCCAGAATATATTTCCTATGACAAACAGATATACCAGTAGAGGATTGAGAAATATCGAAGCCTAAAAAAATACTTCGCTTGGACAAGATCACAGAGCTTGAAATGATTCTTCATTCAACTCACATTCAGTCTTTGAGATTCCAAACCATGACAATCTACGAGCCATCGATTTAACAAATCAGGATTTGGTGTTCTATGAGGGAATAGATATGCCTACTTAGTCTTGAGGGTTTTTCATATTTTTTATTATAGAACACAAAGTTGTGGGATTGTAGTAAAGTTTATGATATGCAAGAAGTGTTCCGTGAATTTTCAAATTTGGATTTTTGTCAACTAACTCCATACACTAAATCAAGTTTGGACATTGGTTCCAGCTCCGTAGAACTTAAGAGATCTCAGGTGTGATCGACATGGGAAAATGAAATTTCCCTTGCTCTAGCAACTTTAGTAAGGGAGTTCACACTAAGGTTTTAGCGACAAGTAATAAGAGTTAGATTGCAAACATTAAAAGATGCTCTGATGATTTAATTTTAACATATCCTATCTCTGAATGAAGTTCTGGCCAATCATCCCAGTTGTCAATCATCTATTTAAGGTTCGAGCAATCTGTTTTGATATGGACCATCTTAAACCCTATATCACGTAGACAAAACAATGTCCAAATTAGTCCATGATCAACCCAAGATGCATCAATCTGACAAGTAGAGATTTTTTTTGGGGGGGGGGGACCCACACGGTACTGGTTCCGTCAACTTGTGTTCTTCCTCTTCCTCTTTTTTCAATTGCATTTTCCCAGCTCTCTTCTACCGGTTTTACCAACTGGAGAGTATTGAGCGCGGATGTTTCCTTTACATTAAAGACTTTCTTATTCCTTGATTTGCAAATAAATCAGATGAGCCATGGGAAACAGTCTTAGAGGGGTTGGAATATCCACCTCGATTATCCTACAAAATAGGAAATCAAAATTTTCATAAAGGAAAGTGCACGGGAAACAATCCGCAAAGGATTTCAAATAGGGGCGGAGGTAGCTATAGGAAAAGGGGCTCACCTAACCCCTATAGATTTATGTTAAAAATAATTTTACGTACATTTGAAAAAGATTTTTGGTGAAATAAAGTGAAATTATAGTATACTGATTCCATGATATTTTCAAGAATGTGAATTTGACCCATGTTTTCTTTTTCAAAAACTTTACTGACGTGTTTATACTTTGTTAAAATCTGAAAGATACTCACTAATTATTTAAAAAATTATTATCATTCATTTATCCTAGTTGTTTTCTGTTGTTTTTTGCTGCTATCCAATATTTCCATC